TGCCCAAAAGGGTGTATGTACATATATGTGTGTATATACACATGCTAACCTTAATGTTAAACCTGGACTAGATACCAACATAACCATCCATAGTCTGCTTAGTACCACCCATATTCTGACCCCGATGTTTTCTTATTTAATTTACACAGTCAGCTTGAAGGCATCGTAGTGGTAGCTGTGATAACCAGCTTTCCATCGACCCCAAAGCTGATCCAAACTATTACCCAGCATATTGTATGCTGAGCAGAATCGAAACCCAATAGCAATGATATTGGAACCTGATTGGCAATATGTATTCGTAACGCGAGGAAACAAATGAAATGCACACTCCTTGCTAGGAAAACCTTGGGTTTGGAGTGAAATACCAACTTTTCCTAGGAAAAAGATGGTTTTTGGGCGGAAAACCAGCTTTTTCCTAGGGAAAAGATAGTTTTGAGCAGGAAAACCAACTTTTTCTTGGGAAAACCAAAGAAAACAAAAAAAAACTTGTGGGAAACTGTGTGGCCAGAGTCCGAAAAGATTGTTTTTTAGGTTTCCCCAAGAAAAGATTGGTTTTCGACGGAAAAACCATCTTTTTCCTAGAAAAAATTGGTTTTCAGCACAAAACCATTGTTTCCTATGAAAAAATTGGTTTTCCTACCCAAAACCATGTTTTTCATCAGAAAAAATGGGTTTTCAGCCCAAAACCTATTTTTCCCTAGGAAAAACATAGTTTTTCCACCGAAATCAATGTTTTCCTAGGGAAAACCCGAAAAACATCTTTTTGGAACCTGGCCGCATAGTTTCCCAATTTTTTTTTGGTCTTCCCTAGGAAAAACTTGGTTTGCCTACCCAAGACCACTTTTTCCTAGGACAAAATTTGTTTTTCAGCCCAAACCCAATTTTCTGCCAGGGAAAAAATGGTTTCTCTATCGAAAACTCATGTTTTTCTACGGAAAACCAAAAATATCTTTTGGAGTCTGGCCACATAGTTTCCCAAAAGATGTTGTTTTTGCTTTTTTGGTTTTCCCTAGGAAAAAGTTGGTTTCTGATTGGAAGAGTACAATGTTGCCGTTAAGTGCGTGCTCACGTCGATCCTGAACGAGTTGCCTGCGGTATGTTTGTGAGTGGAGGAGTACTGCGTTGCCGTTGAGTTCGTGCTCATGTCGAACCTCAACGAGTTGTCTAGCATCTTCCCTTGAAATGTGAGTTTGGTTTTGGCAGTCTTTGACAGATACAGGATCCGGACCTGCCGGCAAAGCAGGTTTAACACGGTAGTTCCGAAACAAAACGAGGGTGTGTAGTTCATGGGGGCGTGTATATATTTGTATATATATTTATATATTAGTACGTGTACTTATATACATACATATATATATATATATGAATATCTGAATATATGAATACATGAACAGATGAATAGATGAATATGTTAACATATGAATGTATGATTATATGAACATATGTACCCAGCTGATCAATCCATCCTTCACGCAATGCTCACTAAAGATGCCAGTTTCGATACCGACAGGACATGGCTTCATCTGTGCATCAACAGTAGACAGCACACTGTTGATTGCACATTCGGATCATCCTGACTTCATTCGGAACCCATACCCAACCGAAGACTACGAAACAAAACACAGTAGTCGCACGAACACGAATGCAACGGAACAATCAGAATACGGCGCTTCCACTTACCATTGCACGGAGCAGCATGCTTGCAACGACCAGCGCTGCTGATTTGTCCAGTGCAGCCGAGTGTTTACAATTAATTCGTTTGTCAGCGCCTTCGATACTGAATTGCAATCAGCGCTCCTGTTGGCGAAGCAGCTGTTTCAGCACGAAGTGCCTGCAGCAAAGGCCATGCTCAGTCCAGTTCCGCGCGCAGTGCTAGTACGGCTCAAAGTCCGTGACAGTCTGTGACCAGGAGAGTTGGTCACACGTCGGTCTTGCAGAGAGTCCTCCACGCTTTATTTACAGAAGAAACTTGTTTTGAAACTTGTTGTGTCTGTCGATGTTCGCAGAGGCCAGCACAACATGTTGAAGCCAGCGAAGTCCCCTTTGAACCTGAGAAGCCACCAATGCCCACAAATCTCGCGCAGGGTGCAGAGAGTTCTGTAGTTGCAATCTCACACCTATTGCCAGGCCCCCCTGCCCCGCTTTCCCTGGGTCGGTGCACCCGAGATTTGCAAACCTTTTCGCATTCGGTGCGGCTTGTGGCTGTGCCTGCCGGCCATCAGCATAACTTATCATCTCCCCAGCTCGGCACAGCCAAGCGTTCTGTGCAGAGCTCGCTCCCCAGCGCCCCGCTCCGGCCCTGCGCCCCTCTTCCAGCACCTTTCCGCCACCACGCCCCCCCTTCCCCCGTTCTACATGGATCCGGGCGGATTGTGGCTGCGACTGCTGGCAATCAGCGTAACTTATTACCTTCTTGGTGCGGTGCAGCCGAACCAAGCAAAGCTTGCAGCTGCATGAAGTCACAAGTCATACATATTCCACAATGCAACAAAACGGAGTGACGAGAACAATTATGCTCAGTAGGATGCCAGGCCAGGATGTTATGACAAGTGCTGGAATCCAGCGAGCCGAGGCGGGCGGCGTCGCGTGCTGACATCAACACTGTCACCAAAAGACTTGGGGCGACACGCTTTTGTTTCGCGTAGGCGAAGGAGGCCTTACAAGCCCAGGCAGTGCATGTAGAGCTAGCAGATGATTTTCGGAGTTTTGGGCTGCTCAGACACGCACGCATACGCATAAGATCTTTTAGCAGTGTGAAAACTGCTTCTTGGAGGCACGTAGAGGCGCAGTGGCTATAGTTACCACAGATCCTGCAAGAACCCAGAAATCTGCCAAAAAAAAATCTGGCTCGTGAGCCATCTTGTGTGTCACCGTATGCAGGTACAAACGAATGTCGACCGCGACTCGAGACGAAACCAGTGGCATGTTGAAAAAGATCTCGCGGTGATATCAGGTCCCGGCTTGGCACGTCGACACCTCTCAGTGGCGCTCGACTAGACGTATCGTCCTGGCAGCAGCCGAGATTACGTTTGACGTTGGCAGTGTCGGCACGGGCAAATTTTGCGGCTACAAACTCCGCAAACCAAAATCAAGCAATTTTAGGTGAGTGCCTCATAGACGACGAAAGCGCTCACCTCAAAGCCAAGCCTCCTTGGGAGGCGCGGAACCGAAATTCACGTAGTTGAAAAGCCTCGGAGGTGCTCCCTCGTGCTTGCGAGACATACTTTCTTGTCAAGCTCGCAGGCTGTGTTGCATGTGCGCTGTACACGGCACGCAAACGAGATCTGCCTTCACCTGCAGCTCTCTTAAGGCTCGAACAGTACGATGATGGCCAAGAGCTCTCGCAGGAAAGCCGAATTCTGCAGCCATTCTAGCGGCTTACTGCATGCTCCCTGTGCAGCTACTGAGCTACTGGTTGAAAGACGTTTAAACGTTTGCAGTGGAAACTGGTTCCAATGCGAAGAAGAGTCAGAAACAAATGGGACATCCATTCTACAACGCTGCACGATGTTGCACGGTTACACCTGAGCTACACGTTGCAGAGACCTTCGAAACTCGAAACCTCCCAAGAAGGACGCCTGGATTTGGAAGGCCGCTTGCCGGACCTGCTCCAGCAGTGCCAGGGCCTCCAGGGCCAGGCCAGGAAGCGGCCGAGAGGAGCGGAGCGTTTCGTGAGAAGGGAGGGCGGGCTCGGCAAGAGGGTCCCTCCCCACCGTCTAGCGGCGCTGACGATTCCCAACAAACGCCGACACTCCGACACGACATAAGAACGCCCCAGAGCCGCAGACTGCGAAGCCCCAAAAGCAAGCAGAGCTGGCTCTCCGCCCGACAAAGTCGCATGGGGCAGCACGTGGCAACTCAAAATGCGCGGTCGCTAGCAATCCTGTCGGGACACCCTGTTGTGACATGGCGTTACGTGTTGCTTTCTGCGGTGTTTTAAATAACCTCAGGTGCTACTTAATGTGACGGCCCTTTACAACCCTTTCAGTATCTAGTGCCTTTTTAATGCGTCTTCTTGGCTTATTGAAACCGGGACCAAGAATTTGGGGTGTCCTAATTAGTTCCGTTTTCTTGGGCCGGGCAATTTGTTGCTTGTGTTGCCCTTCTGCTAGTGGTCAATCTTATCTCCAAACCCCAAAAACCTGGCCCTGAAGCCCGAAACTCTCCGTAAACCCGACACCGCCCTTAAGCCTAATTCCCAGATCCCCTTGAGCCTCATCTCAACCTCTCTTTATTAACCCTCACCCTTAGACCCCCCCAAACCTAAAGCTCTGGACCCTCCAGCCGAAAACTCCCTCCAAACCCGAAAACCTTGGCCCTGAAGCCCGAAACTCTCCCTAAATCCGAAACCCCACTTAAGCCCTAAACCTTCAAACCTCAACCCTAAACCCTCAAAACCCTAACCATACTGTACTATTCCTGTACTACTACTGTACTACTACGGTACAACTTGTACTGTACTACTGTACTACTGAAGACTAATGTAATACTACTGTACTACTGTAGTGTACTGCTGTACTACTACTGTACCACTACTGTACTACTGTA